TATTTATTTATTTTTATTTTTAATGTATATTAGGGATTATATAAGATTAATTATTTAACTGTAGTTTTATTTTCTATGGTTTAGTGGATCACGATTGGCCTGTTCAATAACTTGTTTGTTAAATTAAATAATTTAAATTAGATTAAGTTAAATGAATTATACTGAATTATACTACCGACCTGGGTTAAATTATGGTTCACAAGTGGTACGGTCAATAACTTGTTTGTTAAACTAAATTTAATTTATACCACCGCCCTGGAAGAAGTTACCACCACCCTGGTTAAACTTCAATTGTTTAAACGCCAATTTTTTAACGCCACTTATCTCCCAGGCACTTTGTTCCCCAAGCCTTGTGTGAGCAAGCTCAAAATGAGTGATGCACTAGTTTATATTACACCTGCTCAATGAGAGACACCTGAGCTCAATTAACCCCTCCCCCTAACAAGAGCACTGCAACCTGAGAAAAAAAAAAAAAGGGAACAGTTTAAAAAAACTGACAGAAAAGGAAAAAGAGTTTTTAAATACTAAAAAAGGGTCTAAAAAGGAAGGGAGACAACAAGTATTTCAAAAAATCAAGCACTCAATATATCCCAAACAGTTCAAATCCAAATTTTTAACGCCACTTATCTTCCAGGTACTTTGTTCCCCAAGCCCTGTGTGAGGTTGGCAAGGGATTTGCTAGTGGCTAGATGTATTGTGAAGTGTTGCCTGATAGTTTATCTCAGGGGAGAGATAAAACCTGAGTTGTTTGCTGATGATCACTGTCTGCAGAACAGTATCTGTGATTCCAGTGTCTCACACTGTCTGCTCTTCTACCACGGGATCCTGCTGAAAGATTCTTCTGCAGTGTGGGAAACATTGCATAAACTGGTGAGGGGATCCAGCGACTTCTGTACCAGAAAGGGACCCTTTCACTCCTTGCCTGAGTGATCGGATTCTACAGAGACAATGCTGCAAGCATCGCTACTGCTACTGTGCAGCACAAGCTGCTGCTGGAACCTGGAAAGCTGTTGGCTGGAGAAGAGAAACCAACCAACGCGGGGAGCCACAATTCAAGCTACAAGAGTGGTGAGAGGCCATTGGCCAAAGTGATACTGTGGCTAAACCATCTGTACAAGCAGAACTTGGGCCCTAACAATGGCTAGCCTAGTTAAATACCACTGGCCAGTAGAGTTAAGACCCGGCTCTGTTATAACTAACACTTTGGGGGTGATTTACTAACCTAAACACACACACGCACCAGGTGCGTGTGCATTTTTACACAGCAAAACGTATTTATCAACCAAACACGAGCAACGTGTCACATTTTCACGCCGTTATGGCGTGTTTTTATGTATTTACATACGTGCGTGTCATGTAGCATGCGCCATAGGCTACACGCCGCTCTAATAGCGGCATGCAAGTCTCTAAAAGCATATTTCCACTAATGCCATATATGGAAAAATCATGCACATGATGCATATATAATGCTGCTTCACAGTTTAGACAAAAATGGTTAGCTCATGCATTTACATTCCTGCATTCATCAACGCAAGCAACACAACATAGAGCTAATTTACACAACATTACCTTGCAATTCATGCAGGGCTTTGCACAACACACCTGCTGGGTGTGTACACACTACAAAGGTGTCTAGATTCCACCAATAGATCATGCTGGGAGGGAACACACTACAGAGGTGTATACTTGTTTGTGGCGTGTTTATAAGGTTAGTAAATCAACCCCTTTGCCTCCACGGTTTGCTGTTTCAGATATGATTACATTAGTCAGCTCAATATTGTTTGCATATGCATATATGTAAAAACAGTTAAGATTTATCTGTATACTTAAAGTGCTTTTATTATATGCTGTTTATTTGTCATTGTTTTACCGCTCCACACATTTATTAGGTAGTACATAATTTGCTTAGTAAAACTTTTACAAAACCTCACAATGTGTGCTGATGCGCTGTGGATCCATTGTCAGTGGTCTATCACAGAGGTGAAACAGAAGTACCCATATATTCCAGCGGCTCCTTCTGGGGTGATCGCTAAAATTTTATAATATGTAGTATGTATTAGAAAGCCATCACTAATATCTGGAGGGGTCTCCCAGGCACATTAATGCGTGATTCGTGGTCTATGGTGCAAGGAACGTTACAGGTGCAATTTGGTGCCATTCATTCTGAATGACATCCCAATGTACTTTGCTAACAGACATGTGTTGCAGCAAAGCCCAACTCGCAGCAATGCATTAATGTGAGTTGCAGTGCTCTTAGCTGCCAGAAGAGACACATGCCCATTTTCTGCCATGTTGAGGTGCATTGCCAGCCCATTAACTTTCGGCAACTAATTTTAATATGTAAAAAAAAAAAAGTATTAACAAGCAAACAATAATGCAACAATAATGAAAAGTTTGAACCTAGACTAATACTCATATTTGTTTTGAGATTGATTATTGCTTCTACTGATGTCTTTATATTAACAATAAAGGTACGCTTTAACATACACTATAACTGTTTTATTTGATATAAAATAAGGAGGATCTGATGCTACCTAGCTGGAATCATAAGATATAATAACAGCCTATGATTTTATGACTACACCCACTTCAGGTATAAAAAGGACCAGGCATCTGTTCAAAGACACAGCCTTAGGATCTCCAAGCTCCAAACACACTGCACCTTACATCCTTGGTGAGAAGACCCATCATGTCTCATCACTCCATCATGGCCTCCTCTGGACACAAGCATTTAGGCTCCTGTTCTGTTGCCTTACCCAAACATTCTTCACACAGTATCTTATCACACTCTTCTAAGCATGCTGGGCATGGCCACAAGATACAACATTCCTTCACCAGTGCAAGTGCCCATAATATTGGATCAAAAGGACATAAGATGTCAGTTGGCAGTTATTGTTCAGGAAAAAGTGGACATGGACATAGATCTGGATTTGGTATTGTTGGGCTTGGTCGTGGATTTGGAGAACAATGTGGAGGAATCACCCCTGTTACTGTGAACCAAGGCCTACTAGCTCCTCTTAATTTGGAGATTGATCCAAGTATTCAAAGAGTAAGAACCGAAGAGAAGGACCAAATTAAAGGACTCAACAATAAGTTTGCTTCCTTCATTGACAAGGTAAATCTATTTTTCTATAATCCTAATGACAACGCAATTTTTAACTTTAAATACTTACTAATAACCCCCCGCCCCCCATTTTGTAAAGCGCTATACGAACTGTTGGCACTCTATCAATCCAGTATAATATTATTAATAATAATACAGAGGTTTGAATAAGAATTTTCTACTAGACTGATTATCTGAGAAGGCAAATCAACATAATTTACAATATATTAGGGTCAGAAAAAATGCTGAAATCACCATTCTTGCCATGTCCATTTAAGATAAAATGTGATTCGAAAATTTACAGCTTCTCGAAGTTGCTGCAATGCAGTTGAAAATTTACTGAGCCATAGCTGATTTTCAAGTACTGATTATAAAAATGAAGAAAGGTATAAAGGCAGTTTTTTGAAGATACATTTTGTAGACGTAGCAAACAAATAGGTTATGAATTATTGTGTTTTGTTTGATTTAGGTGAGATTCCTTGAACAGCAGAACAAGATGCTGGAGACCAAATGGAGTATTCTGCAGGAGCAGAGGACAGCCAGGTGCCAGATTGAACCTCTGTTTGAGGCTTTTATCAGTAACCTCAGGAGGCAGCTTGAGAGCCTGGAATGTGAGGGGGCTCGTATGGCGGCTGAGAGGAACAGTATGGAAGGAACAGTAGAAGAACTGAAGAGAAGGTATGTCACTGAGTAAACATATATGTCTAACAATGCAAAGAGTTACCAGAATGCTTATTCTATCTTCTAGAAGGTACAACTTTATTTACCCTTAACAATACACCATCATCAACTAACATAATCAAGTCTGAAAGTAATGAAATGTAAGCAATTAGGTACATGTGTATTAAGAACAGCCTAAACGACACAAATCTTTTTTTAAAACATATTGTTCATTAGATGAGTAGCTCATTCTAGCAACAGACCTATGAAACACATACATAAGTAGCAACACTGTCAGACAGGTATTCTAAGCCTAACTTGAATAGTAATTTACATTAAGACATCACTATTGAAGACCATTTTGACTGTTAGCAATTTCCCCTGGATTATGTTGGTTTCATATAATAACTGGCTACAAAGTTTGTGTATGACAGCCACTCATTATGTTTACATATTATCACATACGCAATGCTAATCTAATCTATGCAAAATAACTTTTCAGCATAGCTTGACATGATTTTACCAAATATGATTTCATTGCAGGTATGAAGATGAGGTGAACAGAAGAACAGCAGCAGAGAATGAATTTGTATCTCTGAAGAGGGTAAGTGATAATTATTCACTCCTGAATCTTGGGAATATACATTTACTAGAAGCATACATAATATAGAAGCATGCATTTGTGCAGAAGGAGATCATGACTGACATATTTATTGTAGGATGTTGATGCTGCTTTCATGAACAAAGCTGAGCTGCAGGCAAAGGCTGATTCCCTGACTGATGAGATCAACTTCCTGAGAACACTTTATGATGCGGTAAAATAAACATATATTCATATTTTAAAATAGATTTTCAAATCTGTCACTTACATTATTTGATGTTATAAACACAGGCCCTGTTTTATTTAAATGTTAAGGTTTAATTTTTTCTTCTGCAACCATCATTAGGTACAAATATTTACCTTTGGCTTATATTAGTATTAGGTTTGGGGTAGAAGCTCTGTCACTTTCTATTGCTATCTGTGTCTAGTTTGGAGATATTTATTCTCACTTCCTGGCCCCAGTGACTGTTATGACTAGTGCAAAGAGTGATAGGAAATCCACAATTTAGACATTGTCACTGGGCCAGGTATAGAAAGGATATCTGCCACTAGAGACATCTGTTCCACTGACTTGTTTCATATCTTTTTAAGTCCTGCCATGCCTCCAAGACAGAAAGTGTAGAGAACACTCTTCGGCAAAGACACAGGAGGCAGCAAACAACTGACTGAGGTTTTAACCCTTCCTTTCCCATCTAAAGAACAATTTTGTCTGGAGTGCCTACATAAGAGTAACCTATTCATTTTCATAGGCAATGGTTCACTCTCCACAGATGGAGCCTCTGCTTGATTTTACACCTGATGTTTAGCTATTCCTTTCTGGGGGGGCTGGTTGTATATTCATTATGGGAAATGTATAATTAAATATTGACTGCATCTTAATAGAACATATTTGTACAGCATCAGAATACAAACAACTGGAAAAGTCGTAAATGTCAGAGGTTGACTTTAGTAAAGTAAGAAGTAAGATGCAGTCCCCCATGGCAATCAGCAAGAAAGGACATTTCTCTTTTCTGAATATAGGAAACTGAAGCTTGACTACTATTGTTTGAAGATCACCAATGTTTTGTTTAAAAAGCCTTAATATGTCAAACTAATATATTATTAACTATTGCAACTTGCAGGAGATTTCTCAGCTCCAGGCTCAGATCTCAGACACTTCAGTAGTAGTTTCCATGGACAACAGCCGAGATCTGGACATGGGCAGTATCATTGCTGAGGTCAGAGCTCAGTACGAGGAGATTGCTAACAGAAGCAGAGCTGAAGCTGAGGCCATGTACCAGTCAAGGGTGAGTGGCAATTTATCCATTGGCACAAAGTGGCCATGAAAGTAGCCTGAGTTATTCATTATTGACTGTTTTGCAATCAGTTTGAAGATCTGAGAATGGCAGCTGGAAGGAACGGCAATGACCTACAGAACAGTAGAAACGAGATTGCTGAACTTAATCGAACAATTCAGAGACTTAGAGGAGAAATCGAGTGTGCCAAATCTCAGGTATGGGATATTATTCTAACAACATTTTTAACAACCGTTTTTCTTGTTATATCATTTAAAGTTTACTGCACTTTTGGTATATTGTCATTTTGTTACAGTTTGCTAGTATTTTAGCATATTTTATATTAGTTAAAGCTGAGCTTTAGGCAGATATACAGTACATGAGCTTCAAAGAATGCGGTTATATTTTTATGTGAGGGAAGGGTAGTACTAACAGCCAATCAAGTGCCCTGTAGTATACAAGTATTGACAGGAAGCATGCAGACATGGGAGAGACAGGAGGAGAGAGCAGAGAGGTGACCTCATCAGTCTGTGTAAAGTCAGGTTTATAATATTTTACAGGAAATAAACTTTGGAAACAGTATCCCCTTCTCTTTTCTTCCAGCGTGCTGCACTAGAATCTGCCATCAGTGAAGCTGAGGAACGTGGTGAAGCTGCTGTCAGGGATGCAAAAAATAAGCTGGCTGAGCTGGAGGCTGCTCTACAGAAGGCCAAGCAGGACATGGCTCGCCAAATGAGAGAATACCAGGAACTGATGAATGTCAAACTGGCTCTGGATATTGAGATCGCCACTTATAAAAAGATGCTGGAGGGAGAGGAGTACAGGTAAGTGTGATATTTCTTCAAATCATAGCAGTGTAAGGCAATTGAAAATGGTAAGAAAGAGAAATCAAAGACATAAATAGGTCATAGTAATTAGTAACATATTTAAATAGTAACACATTTTAAAATGTAACAATTCATTTGTGTTTAAATATTTGTTGGACCTTGTTTAAGTATTTTAGATGGTAATCCTGTTTATTATCATTATTTATTTTTCAGATTGGCTTCTGATGGTCATGTTAATGTTTGTAAGTAACCATATAAGACAATATGCATTATTATGGAGATTTAAGTGACAGAATGCATTATGGACAAAAGCTACTTTAATGCCTATGTCTGGGCAAAAATTGCATATAATTAAATGGTTAATTATAATTAAGGTTTAGGTCAACTGCCTGTTGCTTTTGGTTTTTTAATATGAATTTCAAAAAAACTTACTCAAAGCTATACTGTTTATGCTAATAGGCGTTCACAAATTAGTAAACATCCTATTTATTGGCTTGGATCATTCTCTCTATACGTCTTGGTTTCTAACTCTAGGCTACTTTAAACTGAATTATGGCCTGGTTAGTGTAAACATAGATTTGGTTTTTAAGCCCACATTATTCTATTGAGTGCTTATTGCAATATTGTCCCATCAAATACTAGAAGACAGAATATTAGTTTTGGAAGCTTTTTAGAGCAATTCAGCATTGCTTCCCACTGAATTCTAAAATGCTACCTACTTTATTTTTCCTAGCTGTTCTACACTCCAGCACTGGAGGAAAACACCATTCGGGGGGACAACATGGAGGACACCATGGAGGAAACCATGGAGGACACCAACATCACAATCATAAGGGAGGATTCACCTCGGTCAGCCATGTCTCCAAAATGAAGCACCACTCTGGCCATGGGCACCACTGTTAAAGGGTGCAAACATGCCTGTAAATCACGCTTTAAGGACCAATGAACCTACATTTAAGTTGGCTTATATTAAAATATAATTGAAAATAGGTGTTGATACAGTCAGAAGCATATGTAGACAGAACATTAGAGTATAAACTATGATTGTTGGTTAAATGTTTTCCTGTAGTGATGTCTTCTTGATAAAGAACAGAGCAATCAGCCTCTCCTAAGCCTAAAATGGCAGATAGAACAAAGCTGTACTTTATACTCAATTATAGACAGAATTCTAACACATTATTATATACGATGATTCATTCAGACTGTAAACATTTACATATATTTATAATTAGTTAAGTTTATTTAAGCCAACATTTTATATTTAATGGTCCTGCAAGACCTATACATATATTCATTTATTGCCACAGTTATGTATGCTTGTTTATGTCAATTTTACCACAATGCACATCTAAAGATTATTTAGGAAATGGATGGTAGAGACAATGCAGTCTACTCCTCTAATTACTTAATCAGTCCACAGCAAAGACAACTGAAATGTAATTGTTATGATTATTATTAATATTATTATTAAGAAGGAGAAGAACAACAGAACTTTAGATAAACATAAGGCACAGTTAGAAAATAGGATGCTACCTTTTGTAAACAAATAATATGGTATTTTTTTTTTCTAATTTCTAATTTTTTTTTTTTCTGCTGCTGTAATGACCTTTGTTGTACTTGTGGTATTTTCAGTTTGTATTTTCTGTCTCAGGCTGTGTATAGTGACCTACAGTTCTATGATAAACTTCAAAATGCTCTATAAAAAGATAGAGGAAATACATAATCACTGTCCTTTACCTGTCCTGTACCTTGGCAGGTTTTCCTACTGCGGTGTAGTCAATAGTTACCTTCAAAAATGGAAATTCAATACATAAAATAAATCCACTTTACAGGTATCAAGAAGTCTTCCATGATGTGTTTTGTGGCAGAGATTCCTAACACATTAGGGACATGTTGTGTAACGTGGCAATGCAATGAGATATTAGGATTTGCTAGGTGACAAATAGGGTTATGCAGCATAGATTATCTAAAAGTAGTTGGCGCATAGCCATAGAATGAAAAGACAGCATTTAATATTGATAAGCCTGTATTGTGTGTACAACTAGCTTAAAATATCTGTCAAAACAAGGTAAACATGCAGGAACTGTAAATCCTCTACACACTCTGGAAAACATCCTGACTAAAGAATATAATAGACTAGTAGTGATAAAATCTAGGTAGCTTAGTTAGACATAAAATAAAGCAGTTTTGGCTTTTTTCTTCATACTCTACATCATCTTCTGAAATATAGATAGCTCATATTGCACATTGATTAGATCCTTATAATATAAGAATGGCAATACAGTAGAGGCAAGAAAATATTCTCAGGTTGCAAATCTCAATTACATTTCCTTCTTAAATGACTTTCAAGCTCGTGCCCATATATTCTAATCCATTCTAATTGGTTATTATATGTGTAAGTTACCGATGCTGTGCAACTATTGAAGTAATTGTCTTGTATGGGTGTATGTCAATAAATTTCTCTTTTTCACTCAATTCTGCCTCTTGTTTTGGAAATGGTTTAACTGAATTGCACACACTGAACAAGCCTAGTATTAACACCTTTTATTAATACACAATATTAAAAACTTCAAATCTTACATGAAAGATCTACCACTGCATTAATAAAAAAATTAAAGCGAACCTATACCCATAATATGGACATTAAACTATTAACTATTAATATACTCTTAAGCAGTAAATCAAACCCTCTGTAGCTGCCTGTATTGGGAAGTAATTATTTTCCAAAGATTCTCGTAAATCACAAGAAAGACTCTAAAGTGCTGTTTCAGTTGGTTTCCAACAGCTCAGAAACATCAGCTGTGTTTTTTATCAGAGGGCTGGCAGACTGCAAAGATTCCGCTGTCATAGAAAAAAAGCTGAGCTCTTAGTGCCTCTTTGATAAACTTTTAAAATGAGTTTCTTCACAAAGCCTATTGATTTTAGAGGCAAGTGAGGGCATGCTTGAGATACTTTTCAAGATATAACTGTTTTAGGTTTTTACAAATGTGCTTTTCCATCTTTACATTATTGAATGTCATATCTGAATGGATGCTCCTTTTGTGTCATTCTGTTTAAAAAGGAGTGTGATGAGTGTCCCTACTGAGGTTGGTTATTCACAGGCTTATTTTCAAGTTTGACAAGCTAAATGAAAATCCTAACATTCTTGGTAAACAAACAATCACTGATGACCTAAAGAATTTTGAAATTGCTGTTTGAAATGGTTTTTAGCTGTTTTTGAGAAAAGGTATTAATACAATTGTATTCACTTTCTAATAGATACTGTGGTTAAATGAATAAAAAGAAATAACAACCAAAATAGCTGTGTACTTCCTGACATGTGACTGTGTACTTCTGTTCTGTATTCTCAGATTGCAATATCTGCGGTGAAAGTTTGTAGCCACTGCTGTCTCTAATTGCTAGCCTCAGGAGATGTAGGGTAAGAGCATTACTCTGTTGCCCTTTGTTCTCCTTACTGCAGAAGAAACTGTGCCTGAAGACCTGCAATGCAAGAATCTCTGTGCCTCTGCTGCTTTTTAATCGTTACCCCACTAGTGATTAGTGAGACACCTCTGACATCAGAAAGCTAGGTCATGCTCCGCTTCCAAGATAGCCATCTCCTCAATGTAACACAATGTAGAAGAAGCCATGGTATGTCAGTAATACTGGCAACTAGTTCTTTGATCTTTGCTTACCTTTTGGGCACACCTTCCACAGTACAAGTCTACTTTAAGGATTGGTAAGAAAAAAATCAACTAGTTACAGAAAGCACGCATTGTCCTCATTTAGTTTTACCAAACACAATTATTTTGCAATTATTTTACATACAAATTAGCAAACATAAGGAATAAGTAAATATAGCTGTCCACATGTGCATATATTAGAAAAAAAAAAAAAGAAGATAACTAGAAAAAGAGTTTTAAAAATCGTAACACACATCAAACTGACTTTTTTGCATTAAAGCTTAACCCAGGCAAACATAAAAAACATAAATCAATGGAGTTCTCTATTCATCGGTGCATCATTAAATGTATTATTTTAAAAGCACGAAATGTATCAGCACTCTGTTGTGCTGCAGAGTTCAGAGAGGGGGAAGGAGAAACAGCACAGGGAGCCGATCAATATAAGAGTATAAGGAGTTTTCTGATAAAAGAAAAGAGTCATATCAACCAACTCAACCATGAGTTCTAACTAAACCCAAGCTGTTCACAGTTTGCCAGATGGGCAAACTATTTGGCCAGTTCCCCTGCCAACTGAACCTCCCTCCTAGCAACCAATGACGCTGTACGGGACACACAGATGAAAGAGCAAAAGTATGCAGTTCTTCAAAAGAACATCTTGGCACAATATCAGCCACAGTTTCAACATTCAGATGAAGTGATTTATTTTCTTTCCATGAATTCTAAGTTTAGGTCCCTCTTATATATCCTTTTACAGATAAACTTTGTATAGGAAGTAAGATTTCCGTGACCTTTGCTAATCATTTTTAGAAGAACACTGTATTAAATATTGCTGTTTCCTGTAAAAGTTGTCAATAATTTTCTATTTTTATATTCACAATTAGATTTCCAACCATTCTAATTTTTACATCTTTCATTAGTAAACTTGCTTAAAAGCTTGTGGCTAGTGGCTTAGAGCAGTAAACATTAACATGGAGCCTCCAGCTGTATCTTCAATTTCAATGTATCTTCCTTGGGTATGAAACACTAATATGGTTATTCACAAAAGGGTGAAGAGTTTGGAGAAGGCAGGAGAAGTGAACCATACAGGACTTTATAGCTAAACTGGTAAGCGAGCTGAATTGGAGAATTGTTCCAAGTCAGCTATTTTGGCCAAGATTTTTCACTTCGCTTGCCTTCTCCAAACTCTTCACCCTTTTGTGAATAGCCCTGTAATATTTTTAAATATATGAAATATCTCAGATCGATTAGGATCCAAATTATTTATGTCTAAGGTGCATGACTGGAAAGAACAGGGATATACATCATATTGTATATTCCTTTTTTTACCAGAAAATATCTATGATTGTATTAATCTCATAAACTACAACTACTACTGTACTATTGATACTGTAATATCATATTGTAAGAGGGCCATTGTAATTTCCCTTTTAAGAGCAATGCCGCTTTAAGACTGTATGTTGTCACAGAGACTTGATTGGCTCAGCTGTCAGCAATGCTAAAGTGTTTGTGGGAGTTGCAGTTTCATCACAGAGAGAGACAATGAAAGTTATGCTGCACTGATCTCCCACTCCCAGGAGGCTTTGTGATCTGAAAAGGAGTGTGTCATGGTGCAGCCATATAAATATCATATTTGTTGGCCTCTTTTCATAAGACATCCTGAAAGTCAATTATTTTATTGAATGCAGTCTAGAAGCTAGCCAAACAATTTGTAAAAACTTGTTAGCTAAAATGTGTTAATTAAATCAAATGTGGGTTTGTTTGAGCTTTCCCAGCTGGGAACCATTCAGCAATGTATACTCTACCTGGAGGTTGCAGTCAAAGTGTCTCCAGGCTTGGTTTACCACCAGATTGACAAAAGTGTCACCTCACCTTGTGTGTATTTCAATGTTCAAACTTATTAAAAAAGGTAATATCTCATATGTTCCATACATAATATGATCGTAGAACCTTCAGGGAAAGAGTGGTGGCACAAAGGTGAGCTGACTGATACTAAACATGAGTGTTTTACCATACAGTATGGAGGAGTTCTCATAATTGGGTATCTTTATGGTATTTCTGGTTCTGTTAGCCATAGAGTGCCAGAGTTTGGACTCTGTGTATAGCAGAAATGCAGCTTGAACAAGAACCATCACTTTCGGATCCATAATTCATAACTAGAAACAGTGATGATTGTTTTACCATACAGTATGGAGGAGTTCTCATAATTGGG